CAACATGGTGAAACCCCGTCTCTACTAAAACTACACAAAACATTAGCCAGGCATGGTGGTGCACACATGTAATCTCAGCTACTCAGGTGGCTGAGGCAGGAGAATCACTTGAACCCAGAAGGCAGAGGTTGCAGTGAGCTGAGATCATGAGACTGTCTCAAAAACAAATGTAGCAGGACACACCGCAGACAAAACCTCTCAGACACCAGTTTTGTAAAGGAAGTGGCTTTTTATTCAGCCGGGAGTCTTGGCATACTCACGTCTCAAGAGCCGAGCTCCCTGACTAGAAAATCCTGGCCTCTTTTAGAGGCTCACAGTCTTAGAGGTTACATGTGAGAGGGTTGTGATTGATGGGGTAAGAGAGGGGTACGTGACTTAGGTGGAGGTCTAATCGTAATTAAGCAAGAACATTGCCTTCCAGGGAAGATTCCTCCATATCATGCCTGTGATCTATAGCTAGGATGGGAACTAGGGTCGGGGGTTTGATCTGTAACCTCCAGGTCCAGCTAATGGCACCGGTTTTGTCTCCTCCACTGACCCTGTGCCTTCTATTTTCAACTTTCACCTCTTTTGAAATGCAACATAGAAGGTTCAGGGGAAGTGGTCTTAGAAGCTTAAGAGGAAGGGGTCTCCTTCCTCACCCCCTCTTTGAGAACCTCACGTATAACTACTGAGAGTTCTCACTCTCATTCTCATTTTCATGTTGGGGATCCAACTGGGCCCCTTACACAGTCATACACCTCCCGCCACCTAAATTGAAACCAAAAGCAAGACTTCCAAGGTTAGTTATAGAGAGCGAGTTGTGTTCAGGAGTGCCAAATTCAACACACGTGGGTGATTAGGCCAGGCTTCCATCTAAAGGAGGTGGGCAAATTTCCCAGGACCAGTCCTACCATGTTTCTGTCGTCTAGACTGCCAGTGCTGGTTCCTTCCCGGTGTTAAGCCTCTGCGTGGATCCGCTGCGTGGGGCCTACCTTGCCCCACTCTGGCAAAGCGTTCCGCTGGGGCAAATGTCTATCTGGGAGCACTCAGGACCTGCATTGCCCAAGCGGTCTGGAGTCCTCCGCTGGGATGCTCTGCACAGCAAGGCAAACTGCCTAATAGGTTGTCTCCAGCTTGGTCGGGGAATCAAGAAATGTAGCAGGACATGCCACAGACAAAACCTCTCGGACACCAGGTTGTAACAGGGCTTGGTGCAAGAAAGTGGCTTTTTATTGGGGCGGGGCGGGGGGGAGTCTTGGCATACTCACATCTCAAGAACCAAGCTCCCTGACTAGAAAATCCTGGCCCCTTTTAAAGGCTCACAGTCTTAGAGGGTACCTGGGAGAGAGTCGTGATTGATGAGGTAAGCGAGGGGTACGTGACTTAGGTGGAGGTCTAATCGTGATTAAGCAAGAACATTGCAGGCCGGGCGCGGTGGCGCAAGCCTGTAATCCCAGCACTTTGGGAGGCCGAGGCGGGTGGATCACGAGGTCAAGAGATCGAGACCATCCTGGTCAACATGGTGAAACCCCGTCTCTACTAAAAATA